CTCCTGAACACTTCTTTTCCTCGCTTCTGTATGCTTCTGAGGTGCTTGTTGATATTGATTTTGAATATTGATACACTAGCCCTGTGATGAAATCCTTCTGAGGGCTTTGTTGGTTCAGTTGTTGTTTCGATTTGTTGGTTCGAAGAAGGGCTATGGCTTGTTTTTGACAGGGCTTCTGTTTGAGGCTTGGAAGCTTTTTTTCTGGTTTCAAGGCTTCAAGGTTTGAAGGTTGTTTGGTTAGAGACAGGTTATAGGCTTTTGTTTGAGGCTGGTTTTGACAGGTTGGTGAAGCAGGTAGTTTGATTTTGTTTGGAGTTTACAGGCCTGAGTTTTGAAAGGCTTTGGTTGAAGTTTGAATCACAGGTTTGAGGAAGGGGCTGTAAGTTGGAAGGCTTCTGTTTAGAGGCTTTGTTATAGTTGGTTTTGTAAGCTTGTGTTTGAAGCAGGTTGGAGGCAGCTCTGTATGTTTTTGTTGATACAGTTTTGTGGTCTTTGCTTTGTGTTATTTCTGCCTCCCTTTTCTATGTTCTGATAACTCTGTTTATATCTCTTGTCCTTAAGCTTCAAACCTGTTGTAAGCCTTTTCTCCCTTCTCTCTTTTCTCTCTCTCTACAGTTTAAAAAGCATTTAATATTGCTTAAAACTGCTTTTTTCTGAAAAGGTAACTTGGCTGGAAAATGATGTATCCTGGACATTGCTTGCAATATTTCTTTCCTCTGCATATTTCCTGTTTTTCTGCATATCTTATGTACTTTGTGCTATCTTTTTGACAACCTTTGTACCTTTTTTGGACAGTACTGTACTTGGACAGTTTGGTTGATATTTTGGACTTGGTTAGGCATATGCAGTTCAGTTTGCCTTTTGGACTTAGTTTGGAATTTTGACAGCTTTGGCTTAGTTTGAAATTGTGACTTTGTAGGTTATGCTGTTCAGTTTGGACTTTGTTGACAATTTATGAACTATGCAGCTTTATGCACTTTTCAATTGATTTGCCTCTTTTGGTTGAAAATTTGAAACTAGGCAGCCTGTGTGACAATTTTGAATTTGTACAATTTTAAATTTGTGCATTTCATACTTTATTTGCAAGCATACTTCTATCCCTCTTTGTGAACCAAGAGTGATCTTGTGATTTGCAGAGAGGGTGAACAACTGATTCCGGCCAGTTACTTTTAATGATGATCTTTTTAATTGTCTGCCTTTTTTTATTTCATCTGCATTTGATTTTTTTCTTTTCTTTTTGCAGGTAAAATCAATTGAGCAATGGGGAGCAGCAAATAGAAGATGAAGACTTAGGAAACTTTTAGAATAGTTTTATTTTTCTTTTAATCATTGTAACAGTATTAATGTAAACATCTGCAAATAAATTTACAGTGTTCAAGTAATAATTGTAACAAATAATTAAAGATGAATAAAATCCTCCTTTGTCAGATATTTCTCTAATTCATTTATTTAATCATTTATATTTCTTAAATTATAATAACTGGAAAATACCCAATAATTTTAATTTAGAAATGATAAATAATCAATAAACGTCTGGCCTCTTGCAACTTCGCATTAATCAATAATAAACCTGGCGTTTCAATTAAACAAGCATTGCACAGTCAACTCAAACAAACATCCATATTCCTTTTGCCTTTACTGATTAAACCAAACACTGCAAATTCTCAATCAACAGCCTCAGCCCAAATCTCAGAATAAACTGAAAAGAACTGTAGAATTAATTCTTTCTGAGAATGTGTGCACAAAACCCTGATTCTTGATTAAATTTTCACATAAGTGCCTGCCTGATCAAACCTGAGTCAACTCAACCAAAGCCTAGCAATCTGCTTGAACTGCTTCAAAAGTTAATGGAAACCCTAATTTGGATAGACTGATAAGAAAAAGTCTGTTTGACTGATTCTTACGCCATTCTGAAAAGTCAGGGAAAACCCGAAGCTGTGATTTCTTGTGGAAAAAGAGGAGGGCAAATTTTGGGGTACAACACAATGGATCATAGAACTGGACCAATGTAGTAAGGATATCTTCCTTCATCTTGCGCTTCATAAGATGAATAATAGATCCATATTTCTTTCGGAAGTCCGTGAGGTTCTTTGGGAATCAAACTCTTAAACTCTTCGATCTCAGGATTCTTGAAACTATAACTCCGAGTGTTCCTTTTTCCAAAATCCATAGTAAAAAGTACCTGAGATGTCTACAAAAATAATTCTTAAGTTCCTTTAAAAACATGTTTAAAGAATGCTTATGGATGCATGAATGAATGATAATGCAACAATTACACATAAGCTCACAAATATGGGGTTCAAAGGTTCAACGCTATGAGCATGTAGTCAAAGGTAAAGACCACCCCCAAGGTATGTACTAAAGGTTTAATCACGCGTGTAAAACAAGGTTATAAAAGTTCCTAGAGTCTACGATCCTCCTTCGGATATTACCAACATCCTAATTACTCGGTAATTAGCAATATTCTCAAAAGAAACTCGTCTGAGTGCAGCATCACATGACACCTACTTCTAGATTACTCTGTTATAGTCTCTGCACCACACCTAAGAGGCCAAGATGGGTTAAGGGTTCTACGGTTCTCATCTTCTCTAGCTCCCAGGTCGAAAGAGGTAAAATCTTCCCAATTACTCGGTAAATGAATACTACAGTCAAAGGGGCTTCCACTGAGTGGGGGATTTCATGTCTCCTTCTTCGGGATTACTCTCTCAAAGTTAACATGACTATATCTCCTGTCCTATTCTTAAGTGTAACTTAGTCTTGGTATAGGACTTGTCCTTTGTAAGTATCATCAACACCCAAATAACCACAATATATAACATATAATCAAACAAACAAATAAAAATAGATATGACAAATTAGGCTTAACCCACTTAGGGATGGACCAGCAAGAGGTTAATCTTTCCCCAGCAGAGTCGCCAATTCTGTAGCGATAAAAAATGTAGTGGTGTAAATTGGAGATCGAGCTATTAATTAACTCGATTCACAAAAGCAAAAATCGCCACCGCGCTTTATTATTTCCATGGGAAAAGTGAAAAGAGAAAAATAAAACCCTTAAATATGCAATGTAAAGTAATACTTAAAAGTAATGAAAATACAATGTGTTTTTGAAAGAGATCTAAAGTTCGGGGGTTGGTTATACAATGGGAAGGTACTAGCACCCAATGCATATACGGTACTCCGCAAGAACCTTTTGAAATATCTATTTTTTGGTTAAAATTGTTTGTTTGGTTAAAATGGGTGTGGACGAGATTTTGAAGATACGACGACCTAGTGTCGAAGTTTTTACTTAAAAGGTGTGAGTTTTAAAATTGAGTCTTTTAGGAAAATTAACTTAAGATTACCAAAATAGTAAAACAAAAATGAATGAATGGATTCTCTCAATCGTATAAGATGTATTAGATGACATGAAGTCAACAAAATTAAAACATTTCCCATGGAATTTAACAAGCAAGAAAAAATAAGATGAATATCAAAGTATCAGTACTTGATACTCCACAAGAAAATGAATCGAAACAAAAAAATTAATGACAAAAAGGCAATGAGAAATTTAAATTAAAACTACAAAGATAAATCAAATACAAATGAAAGAGAATGTGACTAATTATTTAAAGAAGTTATTAAAGATTTAAGATTACTAAATTAATTCTAAACTAAATTAAAGATCTAAAGACATTAAAATAATTCTAAACTAACTACAAATTCTAAGGTTATCAAAATAATTCTAAATTGACTCTATGGTTAAATTACTTAACTAAAACAATGTGATTACTAAATAATTTTTACTAACTAAACTAAATAACTAAAACAAATAAGTTCAGAAATTAAAATTAAACTAAAAAAACAAATTTTAATAAAGGGGTGCAAGCAGAGTATAGGGAGTATAGTAAGAAATTCGTATGGGCTACTGAAACTAAAGCCCAACAATTTTTTTATTTATTTTTTTAAAACCATAAAGTGGGGTTTGTAGATTTTTGAAAGAAAACGGGCCAGGCCCCATACTCCAATCCAAGTGAATTTATCATAGGAATGAAGTTAAAAAAATTTACCCTAGAAGGACTTGAAGCAGCTACTGCATTTGTTATTTGGAAGAAAAAATCAGATAAAATTATTATTATCAATAAAATTCAATTAAAAGAAAAAAAATGAAACGATAATAACACTCCTCTCTCTATCTCTCTCTCTCTCTCTAAATCTCGTACCATCACCATCATCTTCCTCTTAGTAAACAGAGCTACAACCTCCAATAAACATCCTCTTCATCGAACAGAAAATGCCATTGTTGTTTCTTATCACAACATCGTTCAACCTTTCTCCGCCTCAGTTTCACCACCTTTTCTGATTCGAGTTCACCTCCACATCTCTCTCTCTGTGTGATGGCGATGGTGATGGTGAGAGGTTTAAGGGTTTTCGATTTCAGGTACAATGTTCTTCTAATCTCTGCATCTTTCTTCTTCTATTCCATCTTTTTTGGGATTTTGAATGTGTTGTTGATGTAGAGATGTGGTTTGTGTGTTGTTAATTAGTGATTGTTTATTGTGAAGAAGGAGAATCAGAGGGTTTTGTATGGTGGATTGATGGAGATGAAGGGTTGATGAAGGAAGCGGAAACGACGTGAGGGAAATCAGTGAAGGGATGAGGTTTGTTGTGTATGCGTGTGAGAAAGGTGAAAGGAGAATAGACGACTGTTGGTGGTAATCGATGGAATTTGAAAGATGAAGGGAGTATGTGTGACGGATGCGATTGTAAGATTAGAGAGAAACGAAGAGAAGTGTTTGACAGAGGTAGTCGAAGGTGGGAAGTTACGGAGGCTACCACTGGAGGAAGAAATTGGAAGATAAAGGTGGTCTCACTCTGAAGTTTGAGCGAGGAAGAGAGTATCTGTTTTGAAATTTTCAAGAAATGGATCTGATTTTGTATTTTTTGTGTATGAAAGAGTGAATGGAGGTTTGGGTAAGGAGCAGGTTATGTTGGCGATATGGTTGAACAACGGCAGATCTATTTCAAGTTTCTAGTGCAGAAAATAAGTGAAGGGAATCCTCAATGGTATGAACAACATCAGGGTGAATATTGATATGAAGCATGCGATATTTCGGGAACATGGGCCGGTATAAATTCACAATCTGAAGGATGTCAGAGATTTTCTGAATGAGGTTTGTATGTTCAGAAAAGATTTGAAGGTATTTTTTCCTCTGAATTTGCGTCATTTTTCTGTACATTTCGTATGCGTTTATCACTATTATTATAATTTCTAAACATGTTTAAATGTCAACAAAATGCAGCAGCCCCATAACATAGCAAAGGAATGTGATAAATCAAACACCCATATGGCATAAAAAAGTTGTGCAACAAGAATATTTAAGCATGAAAGTGATGATACTTATGGATATATGAGAAATTATGCAGAAGTAATAAGGAGGAGAAATACCTATCAGAGTCTCTTCGATGGAGCTTAAAAAAAACAGTAAGTTCTCCCTTGATGCTCAAACTCCTTTTTACCTTGATTATTTCTGTGATGCTTGAACAAACTTCTTCTTTTCTATTTTTTTCTCTCCCGAGTTTCTGTTTTTCCTTTCTTTGAGTTTTTCTTTTTTAATTTTTCTGTCAATGAAGATGGCTTTTATATAAAAATAACAAGGCATTTAGGGGGAAATAGTAGAATATTTGAATTGTTTTGGAAAATTGTTTTAATGCCTTCTTGATGCAGTTTTTCTTTAGCCATTTGTGTGTAATTTTAGTCTTGTTCTACTTGGTATTTCTATGCGGGTTGGAGCAGGGCAGCAGGCTGTTAGCAGACTGTTTTATAGCAGTTTTTGGGCAGAATTAGGACTGTTTTACAGGCTGCTGTTTTGGACAGCAAAAGTGCCACAAAAATTGGACTGGTTTGTGTTGAAATAAGGCTGGAAAAATGGGCAGCAGACTGCTATTTTTTGTACTGGTTTGTAGGGGCTGCAACATGATATTGGGCTGATTTAGTTGTTGGACATCAAGCCTTTTTGGAGCATGGTTGAAGCTTTGAAATTAATATCAATAAGTCTAGAATTTATCTTTATATGTAACATGGATGGAAAATTGTTTTGAATATAATTTTCTCAATTCCTTTGTAATTGTAAACACTTTGAATCTTTATTTGTCTTGATGAAATTCAAAATCTTCCACTTGAATTTGGAAAGGAATTGATTGATACTTAGATGAATTTTTTAATGATGAATAAACAATGACGCAAGCCTTAAGACCTCAATCTTGCATCTTGTATTAGAGATCCAAACGAATTACATGAATTAATCTTGTAATGAAGTTGTAACCATCATGTATTTGTTCTTGTGATGAATGACAAATTCGAATCAAATTTCTCTTTTCAATATCTCCTTTAATAAATGCCTCATGTGAATTCAAATGGCCATGGTGGGAATCCATCAAAGTAATCACACAAAAATAATCTTGAAATAAATATTAATGTGATGAACGATTATTCTTGAATGAGCCCTTTTTATAACTTCTATTTAATTAACAGTTGAATTCACATGATGAAAATTCCAAGTATTCTAAAAAATTCATCCAAAGCGATCTTGAATTCAATCACCCCACTCTAACAAAATTCACCCCACGTCATGTAAGTATAAGAAATCGAACCATACTTAAAAGCTTCAAATGATCAATAGAAGATGGATTTGAGTTGAAATGTTATCGCATTAAGAAATTGGCACAATGAACTGAACTAAGAGATCCAGAAACTCTTAAATCATGACAAACGTCCCATAAAGTCCTCTCATGGATTTCTAAACACAATTTGTCTTCAACTTTTAAAGAAAACTTGCAGATAACTTTTGGTCGAAGTGATTTGAATTGACTTGCATAGCTTGATCTTTTCTTGTATTTCAAGTCAAGGTGAAACACATGTGAACCAGTGATCATGGAACCTTGACTATTTTTATGAAGAATTTTGGAGAAGCTTAAGGCCACTTATTGGACAGAGCGTGGAAATAAACGCACGATTCTCTGAAAGTTCCTCGAATAGCTATCACACTTGAGACATTCGTGCTCAAAATGATCCTGAACAATGTTCGAGACTCCAAGTTTTGAGGTTAGAAGTCGTGCCTTGATGAATCAGTCTTCGAGAATCAATGATCAATTGTACTTCTGGCTTGAGAGACTCAAAACGCTAATTGAGGCATGGCGCCTGATGCTCTTGATTCAGAATTGTTTCTGCACATGAAATCAAAGAAACAAAAAACATACACTTCGTGCTTGATTAAAAGTTAGTCATGCATAAGATAAAATGTTTATAACACTTGATAATCTCTACTCAGGCAATGCTCGAAGGTGAGAAGTTCGAAAACAACCATATTTCATGACCTTGATGTATAAAAAAAATGCAAATGAAGATGGGATCTTAGGTAAAAAAATTGGGGTATGACAAAAAGATATGCTTCCGGAGGATAATGTTCTTCCTAATCGAACCTATGAGGCCAAAAAAATATTGTGCTCTATTGGCATGAGCTATGATAATATACATGCTTATCCAAATGATTGCATTTTGTTTCGAGACGAATATGCATCGTTAAATGAGTGTCCTAAATGCAGTTTATCTCGATATAAGAAAAAATTGTCTCCAGCAAAAGTCTTATGGTATTTTCCTATAATTCTGAGATTTAGACACATGTTTCATAGTGAACCTGATGCAAGACACTTGACTTGGCATTCAAATGAAATAATCATTGATGGAAAGTTTCGACATTCGGAAGATTCACCACAGTGGTTGAAAATTGATAATGATTATCTTGATTTTGGAAGAGAAGCAAGAAACCTTCGCTTGGCATTATCTACTGATGGAATGAACTCGCGTGGTCTTCAAAGTATCTCACATACCACATGGCATGTGATTATTATGATTTATAACCTACCTCCATGGCTATGTATTAAGCACAAGTACATGATGTTATCTATGTTAATTTCTGGACCTAAACAACTAGGGAGTGTCATAGACCTATACTTGAAACCTTTAATCGAAGATTTAAAGATTTTGTGGGAGAACAGTGTGGAGGTTTATGATGGATATAGGAAAGAAAGTTTCAATTTGAGCGCGATGTTATAATGGAGCCTTTTCTACCAATAAGTATACATTCTATTTTTCCAGAAAAAGTAAGAAACACCATAACTAAATTGTGTTTTTTCTTCAAGTCAATTTGTAGTAAGGTGATTGATCCTGAGATCTTACCAATATTGCAAAAAGAAATAGTTATTACTTTGTGTGAGCTTGAAATGTATTTTTCTCCCTCATTTTTTGACATTATGGTACATCTTATTATTCATCATGTGAAAGAGACACAATTGTGTGGACCAGCTTATATAAGATGGATGTACCCTGTTGAGCATTATATGACAATATTAAAAGGGTACGTGAAAAACCAATGTCGGCCGAGGGTTATATGGTTGAACGATACATTGTATAAGAAGAGGTTGAGTTTTGTACTGAATATTTGTCCAATGTTCAATCCATTGGACTATCCAAATCTCATATTTTCGAAAGGAAGGAAGGAAAAAATTTAATCAGAAATAAAATTGTCACAGTATCAAGAGTTTAACGGGATCAAGTGCATTTATATGTTCTGCACAATGACAATGAAGTTGAGTCGTATGTTGAAAATCACAAGGATGTACTCCGGGGTTTAAATCCGAATAGAAATGAAAACTGGATAGTATGAGAGCACAATTAAAGTTTTATACAATGGTTCAAAGATCATATTCATTCAAAGTTTGATTTAGATCCCGCTTTAATTACAGAAAGGTTGATATGTTTAGCATGTGGTATGAGTTTTCTCGTGTTTTCTTATAGCGCATAAGCAACTAATGGATACACATTTTATACCAAATAACAAGATGATAAAAGTACTATACAAAATAGAGGGTTCACTGTTGTAGCTGAAGCAATGCACATTTCAAGTATGAATGACTTAAACCCTAAATATGCAAATCTATCATATCTTGGGATTATCGAACATATTTGGGTGTTTGATTATGATAAGTTTTAGATTCCTAGCTTTTGTTGCAATTGGGTACATAATAGTGGCATACGAATGGATAAGTCGGGATTTTTACAAGTGGATCTTAATAGGGTGGGGTACAAAGATGAGCCTTTTATTCTAGCCTCTCAAGATAAACAAGTGTACTATGTCACTGATCTGACAAGTACGAAATGGTCTATAGTGCTTTTATCTAACAAAGTGATTGATGATAACAGTGTAAATCAAAGTGATATTGATGTTGAGAATGAGTCATATGTTAGAAGGAATGAGTCGTATATATGAAATGATCAAGATGAGAATATTATAGCGGATGAATCATGTATTAGAAATGATCATAATGAGGGAATTTGGATCAATCCATCCGTCCGAGTTGTTAAGAGCCAAGTAATTCATATTCCAACCAAGAAAAGAAAGAGATGTTAGTGAAAAAGGTACTAGTAAAATGTTATATTTTTTGTCATTCAATAAAATTGTTATATTGTCTTTATGGTTTTATATTGTGTTTATGTTTTTATATTGTGTTTATTCATTCAATGGTACTTAAATTTTATATGGTGTTTATGTTTTTCTTTAATATTACAGGTCAAATGGATAGTAATGAGGAAAAATCACATCTCGCTTCTAATAATGACGGAAATGAATCAGCTCATGATGTGGAGAATGATATTAGATGAGGAATAAAAATTATGAAGTCAATCATTCGTGCAAGAGATAAAGGTATCAAATTCGACGTACATTGGAATAAAGACAAACAACTAATTGAGCCTAACGATTCAATGATGACAAGTTACATTGGTTCCCTTGTGAGGAGAAAAGTTCCAATCACTTGTGATGATTGGGTAAAGCGTGAGTTGAATCCCATTAAAGAAAAATATGGAGTGCTATACAGGTGCCATATGTGATGTCATTTGTTTTTGTTGATGATTATGTCTTTAAATTACTAACTCATTCTATGTATATTTTTTTTGTAGAGGTCTTTTAACATTTATGATGATCGAAAAACATATTGTCTTCAATTGGCCGAAAAAAGACTAAAAGGGTTTCGATCTTTTTTGACAAACAAGTTTCTTAGGAATGCAGATAACAATTTTATCGATGCAGAACTTCCAAAGGCGTATGCAGGCTTGATTTCGCCTGAAGAATGGGAAACCTTT